GATATTAAGATAAGTTTGTTGACTCAAGCTGTCCACACTCCGATGGTTATCTAGCCAAATGATTTGACATGGTCCAACAGCTTTGGGATATATAGATAATATGTATATAATAGATTGATTGGATTCAGATGATAAAGTTTGCACAGTAGTATAATATATATATATAAATAACATAAGTATAACAATATAAGCTAGGTAACCAGGTGTTGGATTTACTACAGGTGATTTGTACCATCTGATATATTCGATGATAAATTTCCTTCGGAGGTCCTTCGAGCATTTATCATGTCTCTTGATCAAAATAAAACACTCAAATATCGCAAACATGCGAATTCATTAGATTTTAGATTGCAAAATAAGTGAGAAACTGAAATGTTTGAAATGATTTATTCAGTTGAAAATATAAAATTGATAGACTTTCGTGACATTATTATTCATGCAAAGTATAAGTTACTATTAAAATGATTTATGCACATAGTTAAAATTTCAATGCAAATTATTTTTGAAGTGATAATGTTTTTTGTCCTTCCACGTTTCCGCTAAACCTTTCAAGTACTATTGGACTGCTTTGCACTGTTGACAGTGTAAAGTGCAGATGGTTTTCTAAAACGTTGAAATGCCCACGTTCTAAACTTTTCCATCCGCACTAAATACAGACAAGGATTCAGAGCGGTGTTCAGTGTTGTGAAGAAGAACTGACTCGTCATAAAACCCGTACCAGAACAGGACCGGAACTTTCTGAATAAAGTCGTCCAACTCAAACCATTCAATGCAGCTTTGCAGGAGCTGCATAGTAAAAAGGGGCAGATTGTTCAGCAGAAAACTGCGGTGAATAAAGCTATAGTAACAGTTACCCCCTCGAAACTTTCTGGCAGTTTCAGTGTTGGCCTCTTTTCGTCTTAGCAGCGCCACTGTGCTCAGAACAAAGCTGACGAACACTGCCAAAGATATCCCAAAAATTATGACCAGGAGCAAAAGGATATAGATTGTCCAGCTTTTGCCGGGAGGCAGAACACTCGGAGCCACTCCGCTGCCGGCACCAGGAGACCAGAGAGAAAGCTGAGTTCAGCGGTGGCAACATATGCTATATCAACTACCATGATAAATGCCCCCCCAAAAACAAGCACATGCCAGCATTGCTGCTTTCTCGTTGATTTTGCTAAAAAGGTGCGAAAACAGCAATGCATCTTGTGGCACTGATCATCAACACCATGAACATTGTGAACCTCTGAAGAAAGTTGAATATTAAAGTCCAGATACTGCAGAAAGTGTAGTTGTTGAACAAAGTAGGGCGTCGTTTGTAGAACAAAGAAGCGACCACTGGGAAACGCGCAGACGCACGTGCATACGTCTGCAGCGCTGACGATTGTGTAGAGGGCAAAATGAAGGGACTTCTTCCTGATCGACCAGAAGTAGAGAAAAGCTGGAATGTTCCCAATGAGACTAACTGTCATACTGAAGATGAGAAGTCCTCCAATTATCATGTCCGTGATCTCGTTGAAAGTGTGTCCGGCCACTTCTGTAATATAGGCTACGTGGGTGCTGTTAGTCATGATTCCCGTGTCAATTGACCTTGTGGCAAGATATTTTGATAATGGAGATGTAATATATATAACGACAATTCGCCGGGTGCATCTTGTAAAATTTGATTTTCAAATCTATTAATAAGTCAAGTTCAACAAATATTTTTTAACATTCACCAACACCAGAATAGAGTAAGGCTTCTTCAACGTAATCCATTACTATTACTAGGTTTACGAATAAATGTAAAATAATTAAACGTCCATTAAAGCTTGGAGGGTGCAATTTTCAAAAACAGGCGAACGGTGATACGGCTTACGACAGAAATGAAAAAATGGATTCAGTCCCCTCATCTGAGTTTTGGAAACCAAACTTCACCGACCCAAACCCCAAACAACTTCGACTCAAACTAAACCTCCGGGCCGTTCCCATTATCCAAAAAGTCCATGATAATACCAGCAAAGCCACGGCATTATAAATATTCAGGACGTCAATGCAGCTTAGTTGCTGCAACTGTGTTGTAACAGGTAGCTGTTATAACTACTCTAACTAATTGTTAGAGTAGAACCTTATTTATATCGTTCCCGACATAAAATATGCAGGGCGGCAAACTTGACCTATCACCTAGTACTAGTATAGTACTATTTATTTATGCATATTTGTTTGTACCATGCCCATGGCAAACGTTAATAATACGTCGGGTGCATCTTGTCTGGTTCTCACTAATTGAGGTGAATTAGTGATCGGATTCGTAAGTTGGGAGGGATCAAATTGTAGGTAGTTGCATTGTGTGCGGCTTTGTGGATTTACAAGTCTTTCTGTTATAAAATCCACACTTAAGCAGATATTGAGTTAAACTTTGTACGACTACTAGTTGGATAAAGTAGGAAACCCAGCCATATAATGGGAAGTATTTAAAGTTGAATCGCAGGAGTTAAATGTGGATCACCTATTATGAAATAACCACTGTGATGATTATTATTCACTGTTCACATCTTTCGGATTTAATCAAATAAACATCACGTACAGTTAAATCAGTGCTAAAACATTTGGTCGCGCAAAAAATAACGTGGTTCATTTCGCTTCGGCAATCGGTAAGCTCGTTTCCTAAAATAAAAGTAGTTATACTAATTGTGGAGTTTGTTTTCTGCGAAAGTGGTCAACTGTAACTAGGTGCATGGAAAAAGTAACGAATATTTCCCAACTAAAAGTTGCATGGCAAGTGCAAGGAATAATAACAAACATGACTATGAGATTATAACAATGCGATAAAGAAACTGATATATTTTTACTTTGTTTTTCTCTATACGACCACAGGATAAAAAATATCTGTCAAGTTAAATGAACATCTTCGTTGTGTAATGTATACTGTGTAGTGCCACTGGTGCATGCACTGCGCGTGACAACCTCGCATGCACTGGAAGTGGTGGAAAGCCATCTAGGGAAACAACCATTTTGTGCTCTAGTTTTGCGTCATTAAGTCTAACATAGGCTTTAAGTTATATATTGCTTCATAAGTTTTACGTAAGTTAAGTGATCGTTACAAAATTGTATCGAGGATATTTTTAGTAAAGTTTCAAATAAAACATTTCAAATCCAATCTCGCTTCATAACATTTCAATACATGAATCAAGCAATATTAATGCGGTGAATTTAATTCGTTCGTGATTGCGCACAATAATTTCACCTGCTTTGAGGTAATTCAGACACAGTCAAATAAGTGAGGATCTGCCATTTTTGTCAATTTGAAGATTACAGCGGTAAAAGTTTCCTTAGACAGTAACTAAATACAGCAATCATGATTCAAAAGAGCGAACACTGATTTGCTCAGAGTCCCAGAGAACCCTGTTTAGTTGCAGAGCTAACATTAAATCCAAACTCAAAACTCACTTCATTACCCAATACCCATACGAATAAAATTAGGGAAACTACCAATTAGCTTAAAAAAGGGTGGAATATAATTGTATTGCTACCATGCAAATAAGCTAGTTTACCAAGTTATTGACTTATCTTTAAATAAGCTTGTCTTCAAAGTTATCAATCCCAGGAAGACATTGCGAAGGTAGGAGTGCTCAACAAAATGGTAACTAAACTCGATGACACAACTAACGCTGTACATGAATACTACACCACCCTACACCACCGACTCTCCAGAAAAGAAAGGGATGTCTTTCTGTCATCATCAGGTATGTCCAAGCAATGTCTTTAAACTATTGGCGATCGTGCACAGAAAACAAGTTATTGTTAAATTTCATAATTATCAGATTATAATAATTCAAAGAATTCTTTTTGCACGACCGCCCACGTGCAAATCAGATGAGAAATAGAAAGTTGCATAGTAACCACGGTAACAAGGGTTGTTGCACGCACATGCACGTGCGATGATTGTTTGAACGTAATTTTTATCGGTTTTGTGGTAATTACATTATTATGTTTAGACTTCAAGTTCAGTGCGAGATACATTTTAATCGGCTGTGTCTTCGGTTGTGATGGATATTTTTTGATGCTATAATTATGAAAACTGACTACCAAAGAATACTATTACCTTCCTCCCTGTGATCACGGGCTTTCTAATCAGATCATAATATTGAATACACAGAGTGCTGTTTTGAAGATGATTTTCGTAGTTAATTTCATTGCAAATCACTTGTCGGCCATTAATAATTTCTTTTGTACCTCTGTGCTTCTGCCAGCGACGCCAAATTATTGGACTGATATGTACTGTTGACAGTGTAGAGTGCAGATGGTTTTCTAAAACGTTGAAATGCCCACGTTCTAAACTTTTCCATCCGCACTAAATACAGACAAGGATTCAGAGCAGTGTTCAGTGTTGTGAAGAAGAACTGACTCGTCATAAAACCGTACCAGAACAGGACCGGAACTTTCTGAATAAAGTCGTCCAACTCAAACCATTCAATACAGCTTTGCAGGAGCTGCATAGTAAAAAGTGGCAGATTGTTCAGCAGAAAAACTGCGGTGAATAAAGCTATAGTAACAGTTACCCCTCGGAACTTTCTGGCGGTTTCAGTGTTGGCCTCTTTTCGTCTTAGCAGCGCCACTGTGCTCAGAACAAAGCTGACGAACACTGCCAAAGATATCCCAAAAATTATGACCAGGAGCAAAAGGATATAGATTGTCCAGCTTTTTCCGGGAGGCAGAACACTCGGAGCCACTCCGCTGCCGGCACCAGGAGACCAGTAGAGAAAGCTGAGTTCAGCGGTGGCAACATATGCTATATCAACTACGATGATGAATGCCCCAAAACAAGCACATGCCAGCATGGCTGCTTTCTCGTTGATTTTGTAAAAAGGTGCGAAAACAGCAATGCATCTTGTGGCACTGATCATCAACACCATGAACATTGTGAACCTCTGAAGAAAGTTGAATATTAAAGTCCAGATGCCGCAGAAAGTGTAGTTGTTGAACAAAGTAGGGCGTCGTTTGTTGAACAAAGAAGCGACCACTGGGAACGCGCAGACGCACGTGCAAACGTCTGCAGCGCTGACGATTGTGTAGAGGGCAAAATGAAGGGACTTCTTCCTGATCGACCAGAAGTAGAGAAAAGCTGGAATGTTCCCAATGAGACTAACTATTATACTGAAGATGAGAAGTCCTCCAATTATTATGTCCGTGATCTCGTTGAAAGTGTGTCCGGCTGCTTCTGTTGTCATGATTTCCGTGTCAATTGACCTATTGGTAAGATATTCTAATATTGAAGATGTAATATAAAGATAATTAGATACAGAATTTGAAATTTTAATTGATCCGGCTCAATCAACTTCATAGTAATAGCAACACAATGAAAGACAATTGAAGTATTAAGTAATGAAATATTGTCATTGCAACGCATATATCTAAGAATTTTCTAAACTAAAGATAGTGATTAAAATTTACCAACATGTACAACATCATAATACCGACACGTTTGCTTGTTCTCGGTTACAGAATTATACTCTGGCGATCAAGTACTGGCCAAGTACTGGGCAAGATATCATTCTTCAGAACGCAACCACTGTGTCCTCTGATGAAATTGAAAAAAATGTCCACTGGCAACCCTGGTTGAAAATCTGTTCACGACCTGTGTAGAACTATGTAGATCAGCCGCGAGTAAAGTGGATCAGTTGAAATCGAAGCAACTCGACAATCAGCGACAATTCATAAAAATGAAACAAGGTAAATTGAACTCTGTAGACACTGACAATAGTTTTAAATCAATAGAAAATAGTGTTTAAAAGAAAAATGATCAGGATAACAAGATGTCTTCAAAAGTTGTAAAAGGAACAGTGAAAGCCGAGGATGAACGATACAAAAACTTTAAAACTTACGGTGTGAGAGCACTGATGACAGACTCACTGGGCATATATATAATATTATCATATGTTTGAGGTTTTGGATCTTACCATAAAGCTGGAAAATTGTGTCTTATTAGTTTTCCAAAAAAATGTCTCATTAGTTTGCCCACATATTTACAAAGAATTAATATAATGGGTAATCCGTCTACTAGCATGGGGCTCATAAAGTTTTAAATATCCAGTGAATAACTCTAATCACGCATTCGGTATTCCTCGACATGTGATTTAAAGTCCCATCTTGATTGGTTGCAAGCAATCCCACGACCAGATGCACCCTGCAATTTTCTCGGTTAATGATCTGTAATGAGTGATTATGTGCTGATCTGTATAAATTATACTCCACAGCTGCATTATAGCACTACAGTCTCGTTAGCTACCGGTTGTGATGAGTTACAATTCTACAAAAAAGTATAATTTGGGTCGTCTCCTCCCCCTTTTCCCCCGTGGAAACATCGATGTCAAAGTTTCGGTTTCGGGATGTTAATGTTTGGTTTTTGGAACTTATTTGCACCCATGATGAGGTACTAGCTTTAACGTTATTATTGAATCACAGCTGAGTCATGCCTCAAAATAGACTAACAACGGGGGTCTTAGTGCGAGATAGCAAACAGCTGAAGACGATTAACGCATGTTTTTTTGAAAACTCACCCCGCCCCCCCTCCCTCAATAAGGTGGGCTTGTATCGAGGTGAGCGGTCTGAACCCTATAATATCATAGAGAATACAACAAAGTTGAAAATTTCTAAGCAAGTTCTAATTCGCTTTGGAATGTAGAACTAAAGAGTAAAGTTAAAGTAGTCCTAAACACAGATAGCAATTCGTTAGTCTTTATAATATGTAATTACTCATTATCATCTTCTAATCACTCCTTGTTGAAGCGTAGTGTCCTTTATACAAACACTTGTAAATTTTGTATCAAGGTCAGTTGACTATTGTAAATTTTATTCAACACAAACTTAAACTCTATTCTCCAAGTCAAACGACTCTTAATAAACATTTCGTATCACTTATAAGTTTTGAACAACCGCCTCCAGACTTAAATACACCGTGACCTTTGTTCTAGGTAGGACGGAATTTATAAAGGAGGCGTTATAAATTATAGTCTTAGCCTCAGTCTTAGAAGGCATATGCCTTAGCCTAATGGCTAAGGCGTCGGCCTTCTAAGCCGGTGATTGCGAATTCGAGCCCCGCCGAGGCTTACTTTGTCGGCCGGGTGGTGTAGTGGTAACACGATTGCCTCCCAAACAGAAGGCCCGGGTTCAAATCCGGTCGGATTCAAGTCGGCCAGTTACCAAGCTATGATTTGGTACAGCTTCGGCTGGTGATTCACACTCCCTGGCTCGTAGGACTAACCCCCCTACAGCTAGTATAGTGCCTCGGCACAGAGTGGCTTAGGGTTACTGAAAAGGAGATAAGCACCTCAGGCCATCCCAACACCGGGAGTGACCGACCTAGCCTTGTATCTTGTTGTGTATAAATTATAGTTTCAAGAAGGTTAGAAAATATATGGAACAGCATATTCGGCTTATTCATTAGAGATTGAAGATATGGTTTGTTGCTAAGATATCAAGTGAGAAAAAAAAGTTCTGGACATGGAGCAACCTATACAATGCTCATAATGACCGTTTACTTTTAGTGCTCATCAAAAAGGAGGTTCCAGGTGCCTAACGATAAATGCACTATAGTGCAGTTAATTGGACGATTTAAATGCGGCCAGAACAAGGTCGTGTTTTGTGTGTTGTTAAACCAGTACAAGGACGGTTCTGTTTATAAACACAGAACAGAGTAGGGCAGAATGCTCATAAAAGTGCTGCTATAACGAGTATTGATTTGACAAAAAGAAAAACCCTTGATCGCACAGGGAGGAAGCTAACAGTATTCTTTAATATTCAGTTTTTACGATTTTATCGCATTTAAGATATCCATCCCAACCAAAGATACAGTCGATTTGAATGTAAAACACACTGAACACAAGGTTATGTGACAACAACAACGATCATAATGTCGTTCCAACAATCTTTGCACGTGTATTTACTTAATGCAACAGAGGTCAGTGCACTACTAATGCCCGCATAGAATATGTTATTCAAATAATTCAATAACATCTCACAATTGTGCACGGCTGGCAGCTAATTTGTCTAAGATTCAGGAGCTAAGAACTAAAAATAGCAATTTGCCAAATTTACTCATGCTCGTTCGCGTTGTTTGTAATTTTACCTTGTACAATATGTTTCCATGGGACCAAAAGCAGCTGATAGATTAGAGCCATTTAAAATCCACACATTATTTTCAACTCACCCTGTATGTGACCCATATTACTTAATTTACGACTTTAGTAAAATATTAGGACCCTTTGAGGTTGATTCAAGCGTAATTGGTGCACACCATCACACACGACCTAACGTTAACGGTTCAACTAGGAACCGAACGGTCTAGGGTTTTGGCTGCCGGACCGGAAACGACGGGATATCAATCTATTTTCCGGTTTGCCGGATTTTGCCTGGCCGGAACCGGGAAATTTGAGGCTGCCGGAAATTGCCGGAAAATTTAAACTAATCCTTGATTGTGGGTTTTTATCAATTATAATATTGTGGGTTTTTATCAATTATAATATTAAAAGCCATGTGGACACAATAAAAAACTTACAGTCCGACTATAAACTGTGTTCATGCCCTATCGGCTATCTCAAATTTCAACCAATGGTCGATATAAAATCAAAACGCACATTTCAAGAATTCAGAACATCCCTGCGTAGCAGTAAATGTAAAATTGTTTTAGGGGCCATCTACTTAGGACGTCCGGCAAATAAGGAGGAAGGGGGTGGTTTTGGAATTTCGGACAAATCCGGACAAGGGGAGGGGATGGTTTCTGAAAATCCGGACATCCGGAAATTTTGGCAGAATTAACGAAAAAGTCCCATTTATTTCAACTCTTTGACACTAATTACTTTGTAAGTTTAGACTTTAGATCCCTGTATTTTGAACGGGAATTCGATTCCCAGAGCAGCTCATGACAGCCGAGTTTTATTCGCACTCTTGAAAGTAGCTGGAAATCAGGACGTAAGGTGGAGGGGGTGTTTTTAAAATTCGGACACACCCGGACAGGGGGATCTGCGATTTTAACGGACGTCCTAAGTAGATGGCCCCTTAGAAGTAAAGCCCAAAATTCAGCTCTCACAAGTTCGTGGTGTCGATATATAATTATAACCGAGGATAATGTCCATAGATTTTTAATAGCATAGTGGCCTTTGTTTTCAATCCTAGGTAGAAGGGGAGTTAGTAACGGATTTGCTTGCCACAATAAAGAAGGAACCCTCTGCTTGCAATGCTCATGAGTAAAGCATTATTTTGTCATCGGTCTTGGTAACTACTTCGACTTCTCACCTAAATCTCACCTAAACGGGTCTATAACATTCGCTGACAGATAAGAAGCTACAGTGAATTCACTGGTCACTGAGAGTACTGAATGGATGTCCCTTACAAGAATTCAGACAAAAATATGCATTTCAGGAACATTAAAAAAGGAATTTCCGGTTGAATATCCGGCCAAATTCTTGGATACCGGACCGGAACCGGATATAAAAGCCGGATATCCGGCCGGAACCATATTCTGCCGGATATCCGGTCTGTTCACGTTCCTAGGTTTAACAATGTTAGTTCATTTACTTATATCTCAGGACTCAGGTACAACCCAACTACCTCAAGATCGGATATGAGCAAACACAAAATTGATCTCTGAGCTAAAGATGGAAAAACAAAGTAATGGGTTGAATAAACAATATTCTTTAAAGCAAGCGATGGACAATGAACATGCTCTACACAAGAGATGTAATCCACTTCAGGTATAGGAATCATGGTTGTTACTATAATTATTTCTGCACCAGTTTGCCTAACGTATGGCGTAAACCATAAAATTAATTACTCAGTGGAAGTATTTGAAATCAATCAAGATGGTTGGTGAAATAACGATATTACAAAAGTTATATAATGAATACCGTGATTTGGATTCGTGGGTGTAATGTCGATAAAATTTCAGGAAGAAAAGTTTCAGTAACAGGAGGTCTTGTCTGAGGGGCTGGTTAGGACTTTAAGACACAAAATCTATGCTCTTGTGTACAGGTAATTATTATCGTTTATATTATCTGCTGAATGCTGATTGCTGGTCAATATTTTGTCCTGTTTTGTTGATGAAGATTGGTTTCTTCATTTGTGCTTCCACATTAACAATTTTGCTTTCAGCTACAATTTCGCTTTCAGCGATCAACACCGGTGCTGGTCCCACAGTTCAAGCCTTGGCGAAGCACGGCATCCCAGGGAGGGTCTTACGACGGCGTCGTTGGATCGCAGAGCTGGCAGTCCTCGACCACCCCCGACTACTCGAACTCGTCAAGAGAGATTTCGGGGCCAACGGAAGGATCAGAATGGAGGCCCTCAACGACGCAGCCAGCAGAGCAATAAACACTACCAGGCATCTGAAAGATGCAAGAGCAGCAGCCATTTATTGCGGCAGACTTATGTAGAAGAGTTTTAAAATAATCTGTAACTATACTGTACCTCCGATCGACCTCCGACCGTCGCTCACCTACCGCCGACCGGCACCCGACCGACCTGCCTTGTCTGTTCTATGACCGTCTTCATTATACAGATTATCATATTTTGCGAAAAATTACGGTTTTTCATTCATATGCATATATTGCTAATAATACTTTTACTAATTATACTGCTGTTAAATCCGAGATAAAGTTGATCAATGATTAAATATGCTTTTTCTCCACAGAGTTGATTTCAATTAAGTATCAAAGATTATTCATATTTTAAATTGTTTAGATGGAATTGCTGAATGGGGGCCGGGGGTTTAGTAAATGCTGGGAGGAGGGGTTATAAACACGACAAAACGTTTCTCACATAATATAAAAACGAGCCCTTTTTGGCCAAATTGATAGATAGGCACAAGAAATCAAAATGTTGAAGATAAGAATCATTTGAATTTCTGAGCACCATTATTATGATTCTTATCTACCAGAAAGAAGCTATGTAACTTGATGACGGGTAAAAGAGCGAGGAGAGACGGTGAGGAGGATGGGGAGGGCAGTAAGAAGAAGATAGCTATTCCTAACAGCGCCAAACACTCCCTTCAAGGTTTGATAATTAATCTGGAGTGGGTAATGAAGAATCACATGTGTATCAATAAATTTCTAATTCAACTCCGGCTTAGCTTGATACAGTCGAATTTTATCGCAAGGAATAATTATTTCGGCCATTTGTCTCTCAACAATTGTCCATCTCTTTTTTTTAAATTTGGGGTATAAATAACAAAGCATGTTTCTTTGTGACAAAAGATACAGTTTGATAAAAGTTTAGAAAATAACCAAGATTACAAATGGAGGGAATAAATAATAGTATACTTGTCTTATATAACTGATGATCAGTTATATAAGACAAGTATATTATTATTTATTCTGATCTAACAAATTATGAATAAAATCCCAATGCTATGAAACAGTAGATTAAGAGCTCGTTAACAGGGGTCGATGTTTTTATTTCAAAATTCAAATAAATTTTACATCAATGTATTACAATTACATTTACACAAGACCAAAATAACTACAATGAGGCAGCAACATGATTTATGAAAGTTAGGAAAATATTGATTAAGTCAACTCAACACTACAAGACTGCAGCTAGAGTGAGAAAGGTTTATGTAGAACATATGTTTGATGTTTAGTTCATCTCTGTCTCGACACCTTGATGTTCAAGGATTCCTTTGGTACCGTATTCTTTGAACGTTCTGAGGAAAACTTTGTTCAAACTCCGAGTGTTATACTATGCTTATTATAAAATGGAATTAAATAAAATGAAATATTTATATTTCGCTCATACTTTCAACACTACTATTATTATTCAACTACTATTATTATTCAACTACTATTATTATTTAACTACTATATATAACAAATAATTTGAGGAAACGATGTAACTGAGTCAATATATTTTAATTTGCCATGGCAAGTCCCCATACATCGTAATCCGATAGTCTCACTGCGTCATAATATTATGTTCAACCAGCTGACGCAATAAAGGCAGAGCGGCTATTAAATCATGCTAAATAACCGTATAGCTAAAATAACCGTTAACCAATTGACATACATTACACGCATTTACAGAAAAGAGTATAAATGAAACTGAGCTTTATTGAGATTTGGGCCCAAGATTAATCAACCCCACATTACATCTGCATCAATGAGCTGGATAATTCAACTATACGTTTTCAGCAGCATTCGAAACACCCCGCGACGAATATGGGGCATTTGATTACAGGAAGGAGGTTAAAATGAAGCCAGACCACAAGACACGACCCTTGTTTCTCACATCAGACGGCCAAATATTCCTTGAATCCTTCTCTCCCATTTACAAGTTGGTTTTTGAGCTTTTTATTTCAATTTAGACTAGTTTTTGAAGTAATGTATGTTGGTTAGGTCTACGCTTTAACGATCATTGTGACTTTTTCTACATCATAATTAGTGACTATCAATTAAGCTTTCCTTCACCAACTTGTCAAACATTTTACTCCTTCAGACAAGCTCACGATTTCTTGATAGCGATAGCTGAGCCTGTCTGTCGACCTGTTAACATACACGAGTACAGGTTGACCCCATACTCTCTGTACGCAGCGGTCAGTGTCGGTCTTCAGACCGAGGACATAGTCAAATATCTCTCCCAGGTACGGGTTATAACCGAAGTGTAAGGTAAAAGAATTGTCATCGTCATTAAGAATCATTTTCCAAGTTTCGTTAAAATTGGAGTTAATTTGCAAATGGGAAAATATGAAGTTAAGTAGTACTAGAAAAGTAATTAGAATATAAACCACCTGCTCTACAACAGTTGAGTAAAACGTCCATGCCGGCGGGTGTTGAAGACTTTGTGAGGATGTGTACCAGTAGTTACGGTAAAGTTAAGCTGGTTCTCAAGCACAACAAGTACTTCCTTGAAACGGCTCACCTGGATGTCCTGCAGTGTTTATTAAAAGATCCTGTTCTTGCTGGTGCCAGGTTGATAATGTTATCAAAACGTTTTAAAATTACAATTATTTAATTAAATATTGATTAAAATAAAATAAAAGTTCATACTTGAAACCAATAAAACCAATGAAATCCTCTCACCTAAACGATAACCACCCCCAGAGAAAGTTCAGGAGACAGTGCCGTGATAGAGGAGAAGATATCAACAAAAGCTCACATGTTCTCTACAAACAACAAGGCAGTGGCAGAACCTGCTCAGCCGGGATCTTCTGCTGCTGTCTCTGCTGAGGCTCCGGACGATCTGCAGGTATTATTATATCACGTTTCTTATAGATCTTATCTGTCTGCACTGGATACTGGGGAGAGGTGAAACATATTTGATTTGACACGTGACAGCGATTCTGTGTTTCGACTGATCAATGTTGCAAGCTGATTGGTTTATATATGTCACGTGCCGGACAAAGTATGGTTCACCTCCCCAGTCCCCACCAGTATAATGTTCACATCCATAGGTCGCTTATAAATAATGGACGACCGGGTTTTAAAGATCGCATGACAGTCAATTTATGCACGTTATTCGTTGAATAACTTACAAGAAACTACCTGGGTGCACTAACCTGTGTTCACACAGGAGTTTCTTGATAAAGAAGATGAGGAGGAGGAGGTGTCCGAGAGCAAAGTTCTGTCCTTCCAGATCAAACAGAAAGATATCGAAAACGTGCAAAGAAGGTATGCTTAATTATTATTTATATTATACATTCTCCCTCTGTTTCTTCTTAGATATAAGTTAGTACTGTTTGTCGTTTTATTTGTTCTGTCTAATTTTGTTTTCTTGTAAATGTCTTTAGTTAGGTGTCGGTAGATGAAGGTATCCTCGGCTAAAAACAGCCTCGTTATTAGCCGAGGAGATTTCCTCTTTAAATCAGAAACTATGAACATCTTACCGTATTTGGTACACTGAGGGCTGTCGGACCAGATACCCCCGGTGTTACACGTGATCGTTTTAGAGCCTGTCACAACAAAGCCTGCCAAGCAAACAACGCTCACAGCAACGCCCTCTTTTATTCCACTTTTGATTGTACGAGAGTTTTCTATCTGTACTTCGTTACAGGTGGAAACTGAAATCAAATGGTTTTTAATATCCTGTCCAACTAGTGCTCCGGAATCCGGCCATGAAATTAAGACCCACAAGCGCAACTCTACTTTCGAGATCCGGACTTGCAAGATTCGGCGTATCAATTCTTGGGGCATTGGGATCCTTCTAGTATTTATTGGTCACCTTGTCCATAACTGCCCAGACTAATAGAACTACTTACCACATTTAGGTATTTCACAGTAATCCCATCGAGGGTCAGTTCCCCCGCCATTATAACACCAGGGACCTACTTCACTGAAGAACAAATTAACACGTGTTATTTAAAAGAACTTCCGAAAAGAGAATTCACAATAATTTATTAATCTTCACTCTCTTTGAACACTCTCAAGTGTAGTGTTATTGTCAATTTCGTTTTAATTTACTTTTTTGTACCATGATTTGCCCCTTTTTTGCCTCCATATGATGACAAAGGTATCCTAGCAGATGAAGGACTTACCTGTCTACATTTCTGCAATAATTATCTTCCAGTCCTGCATCAGGGAATCTGAAAATGATGCTGTGACAAATTGATTCCCTAAAGTTTGGGAATTCCAACTTGGCTGTGTTATCATGTAATAACGTTTAAATTTACAACAACAACACCTCGATTACAATTTTAATTTTATATATTTCTTATAATATCATATAATATTAAATATTGTATAATTGTTTCCCAGTTACGTGAGGATCCAAATAATTTAATTGAGATTGGACATAAAATCTGATAAGACTGGTTTAGGTTTGCGGTTGACTATTAGCTGTCATTAGTAAGAATAGATAACATGGCTTACTCCTGAGAAGTTATGTCCGAGTGTGAATTTGGTGATTGGGAGTCCCATCTCTGGCAGACGTGTCCTGATACTGTGACAAATACAGTACCCCTGTACATTGACCCATTGGTCTCATCTGCTTCGTCGAGACATGTATCTGAAACTGGATATTTATTGATTATAATAAAACCCCGAATGACCGCAGACGTTGGAGAAAATAAACAGGCCCCGTCCAAAGTAAATGCCGATCAATAGCATCTAATCAGCTAAAATTTGAATAATTTAAAATAATGCAATATATGAGATTTGATAATGATATAGTTTATAAAATTTAAGTTCAATCTCACCACAACTAGTTTTGTCTGAATTGGATACCGTCCCAACTTCGCAGGATTCACATTCACTTGCACCTTCTGTTTTGCTCACTGTGTTGACCGGACACGTTTTACAGATTGTCATGCTTGTGTCTCTATATTCCCCAGCTGGACACGCATCTGAAATATGTTTTAATTTAATTGGCCCAATTAGCTATTTGACTCATTGTAATATCCGAAAAAGTGCTCAAAATCGTAGTTCATCTTTTTCGATATGATGCTTTATGAAGTTAACTTTATTAAGTTCAAACTCACCACAATTTGTTCTATCCGCGTTGGCTACCGTCCCAACTTCGCAGAGCTCACATTCACTTGCACCTTCTGTTTTGCTCACTGTGTTGACCGGACACGTTTTACAGATTGTCACGCTTGTGTCTCTATATTTCCCAGCTGGACACGCATCTGAAATACATTTGGGTTTAATTAGCCCAATTAGCTATTTGAATCAGTGTGATACCCGAAAAAGTGCTCAAAATCGTAGTTGACCTTTTTCGATAATATGATGCTTTATGAAGTTTACTTTATTAAGTTCAAACTCACCACAATTTGTTCTATCCGCGTTGGCTACCGTCCCAACTTCGCAGGGTTCACATTCACTTGCACCTTCTGTTTTGCTCACTGTGTTGACCGGACACGTTTTACAGATTGTCACTCTTGTGTCTCTATATTCCCCAGCTGGACACGCATCTGAAATACGTTTGGGTTTAATTAGCCCAATTAGCTATTTGACTCATTGTGATATCCGAAAAAGTGCTCAAAATCGTAGTTCATCTTTTTGATAATATGATGCATTATGAAGTTAACTTTATTAAGTTCAAACTCACCACAATTTGTTCTATCCGCGTTGGCTACCGTCCCAACTTCGCAGGATTCACATTCACTTGCACCTTCTGTTTTGCTCACTGTGTTGACCGGACACGTTTTACAGATTTTCATGCTTGTGTCTCTATATTCCCCAGCTGGACACGCATCTGAAATACGTTTGGGTTTAATTAGCCCAATTAGCTATTTGACTCATTGTGATATCCGAAAAAGTGCTCAAAATCGTAGTTCATCTTTTTGATAATATGATGCATTATGAAGTTAACTTTATTAAGTTCAAACTCACCACAATTTGTTCTATCCGCGTTGGCTACCGTCCCAACTTCGCAGGATTCACATTCACTTGCACCTTCTGTTTTGCTCACTGTGTTGACCGGACACGTTTTACAGATTTTCATGCTTGTGTCTCTATATTCCCCAGCTGGACACGCATCTGAAATACGTTTGGGTTTAATTAGCCCAATTAGCTATTTGACTCATTGTGATATCCGAAAAAGTGCTCAAAATCGTAGTTCATCTTTTTGATAATATGATGCATTATGAAGTTAACTTTATTAAGTTCAAACTCACCACAATTTGTTCTATCCGCGTTGGCTACCGTCCCAACTTCGCAGGGTTCACATTCACTTGCACCTTCTGTTTTGCTCACTGTGTTGACCGGACACGTTTTACAAATTGTCACGCTTGTGTCTCTATATTCCCCAGCTGGACACGCATCTAAAATACATCCGCGTTTAATAAAGGCTTCTTATTAGAGTTCAATTTGTTTATGAATCGATTTTTTAAAGTTTCGGTAGATTTGCATTATGCCAAATGTGCACATTATGTGCAAATTCCCCCGGCTCCCTCCATTGTATCGTTCAATAAAGAATTTGAAACTATAAGTAGTTGCTGCATCTCACTTACCACAAGTAGATGCGTTATAATCACTGGGCTCCCAAACGTTCCCTGTTTCACATGTGAAATGAGCAGGTCCCCTTAGTTCGTAACCAGACTCACACTTTATTGTGATAATTTTTCCACGGGTTGAAGGAAATCGTGGTGTGATAACTGCATTGTCAATCGTTGGAGACTGGCAAATTTCTGAAAGTTAATTTACGGATGAAAGGATCACAGTGCTGGCAAGCACGACCGTTGCATTTATTGTGGGTATACTATGTTCCCCATTTACTATTATACCCCCTTTACTATTATACCCCCTTTACTATTATACCTCCTTTGGTACACGTTACAAGCCTCTTTTGTGCACGCGAAGCGTGCACTCCGGCCGGAGGCGGCGGCCGAAGGCCGCCGCCTCCGGCAGGAGTTTTCCAGGCATTAAGACTCATCGGAAGTCGTTCAGCAGAATTATTTTTAGTTCAAAACATTCTAATTTGATGTCAAAGATGACAGGAATAAAAAATAGTTATGTTGAGATTTTTAAGAAATTTGCATAAAATACTCGCCAGCACTGTTATACGAAATTCGGTAAAAAACCCAAAATCGCCATATTTAGGTGCCTTAAAAACCATGTTAAAATTGAGTTAGAGATCTGAAATTTTTCAGGGCGTCTAGACGTTGACCAAATCGACTGCAAAAAAAGTTTCAGGTTTCAGGAGCATCGGGAAATGGGTTTTCTAGAACCCCTGTTTTACGACAGATTGTCGTGATATATATATATATACATATTCAGGGATAGACGCTTTGCCAGTCAATTGTAGCCTGTATTTAAGTGTCCATAGATTCAAAAGTATAAAAGATACAGCCATTTCCGACCACAGGTCTTGCAAATAATTGTTTATACTTTAGTTTACATTGTATAAAAAAATTATTTGACGTCATAAACACCCCTTGATGACGTCATCAAGTTAACCGTTTTTAAAACTTGATTTTTGACAAAGTAATAACTTTTAAAATTAATTTTAAACCATTAAGGAGTAATTTTATTCAAAATCTGAGGAAATTTTTACCTTAGATAATTGTTCAAGCATTCTGAAAATCTACCGGAAAGTTTTTCTAGCTTGCTCCTTCATAAAGATATTCGTCATTTAAGTTTGTGCTTTTTTGAAGAATTATTTTATAAAAACGTCAATTTTGCGATTTAGTATTCTCTGGTGTTGGGCCATGCCTTGGGTTGAAGAGCTCAGTTCTGCTTCCTATAGGTATAAATTGTGCATTAGGCTAGTTTTAAAGTTGAAAATCGAAAAGTTGCACACGTGGGGTCTGGGGACACGCCCAAATTGATAGAAAATTGCTAAAATCACTGAAAATTACTGTTTTCGTCATTTTCTGTCAACTTTAGAGTGCCGTTGTGATTACAGTTCTTCTTGAAATACTTTGAAACTTTGCATGCTTATCAAACTATATATAAAACAATTACATGCAAAAATTTACGGCGATTCAATATTGGATGCGCACGCAACGTCCGCTCAAAGTTTGCACGTGCGAAAGGTGATAATTTTGCTCATTCGTGATTTCCAACAAATTCTGCTTTGCCACGACAGTTTAATGTCATTATATATGAATTTAATGCCAACTTGAATGAGTATTAGGTGGCATATTCAGTCAGTGATCGACCGATATGCTTACCTAAACACAAGGAAATGTTTTTAAAGGAAAATTTCGAAATCGTTGAAACTTCCTCCTTATTAATTAATGAAGATATCAGTTTATATTTCGACTTTATAAAGTACCCTGACATTATAATCAAAAAGAGATGATATTTGACCAAAACCCATAATCATGGGTAGAGTGGACCGCTGCCAGTGTCTCTCTTTCCCAAACAAAAGGAAATGATATTAATTTGATTGACCGTTCTCAAATGCAAAATGATACCGAGAATGAAATCGGTCGCTCGCTTTTCCCATTCATTTACAATTGTAATAGATTAAGAAGAACTACCCAAAGGCAGCTGTACTCGGCAATCAGCAATGAAGATTCAATAAACTTCAGCTTGTTCAATAAGTAATAACTACCACCCTTGTCCCTTACCCCGAAATACTAGGTATCGACCCGAACGCAACCCAAAGAGATTTTTACAGCATCTGATTGATGTAATCAATCGAAACTTATTTATACAATTCGTAAGCCGTGAATGAATGGGAAAAGCGAGCGACCGATTTCATTCTCGGTATCATTTTGCATTTGAGAACGGTCAATCAAATTAATATCATTTCCTTTTGTTTGGGAAAGAGAGACACTGGCAGCGGTCCACTCTACCCATGATTATGGGTTTTGGTCAAATATTATATATAAATTGTTATAATATCAGGAATAGATCAGGTACAGATGCTTGCAATCGGGTTGGGAAAGACTGTAATGCGTTAAGATTACATTTTACAAGTTTTCAAAAGTAATCATCTCATGCTGAATTTTACCTGAAGGTCGGTAGAAGATAGTGGGGGAGGGTGGGTCACGATTGTTAACTTCGTTGAAAAATAGTTTGGAGGAATCCTTACTTAACTGGTTGTGACACCCTTGAGATATGGAGCTATACACGATGCTCCAAACCTCCACATCGTTACATTCTATCTTCATTTCAGTGGATGATTTGTATACTATCCATGTTTTGTAGTGATCCGTTGGGACGTTTTTCATCAAAGTGGCGTCATTCCCGTTATTGCAGTTTGCAGAAATCCATACGTTGTAGACGTTGTCAAACTTAAAGTTCATTGAGAAGACAAATTTCGATTGGGCGTTCAAGAACTTAATCCACAACTGAGATCCGTCATTGTCAGCCCATGTTCGGATTTGGAGCGGGGTCGTCTCTATGTCGTGCTCAATATTTTTCTCCAAAGTTGGAGCTCTCCAGTCTGAAATAAATTCAAACTTGGTTTTTGCCGCTGATTTTCTTTATTTTGATAAAACTCTAATCATTTTTAATAATAAGAACATAATTTCGACAACTCTTTTTACTTATTATCAGAAATTGACGAATCATAAATAGACTGTGCATCAGCTGAATAGCCTAGACCGTGTTACCGTTAAACCTTTCGGCCTTCGGTTTGTAAAATTTAGAATATATATTTCTCACTCTCATACCTGTTATTCTATACTCAGTTGCCACTTGAGCATCGAACTTAACAAAGTGAAGTGTGTCAGTCGGTTTGGTGGAAACTTTGCATCTGGCATCATCAGAAACTGACTCACTATTATAAGTGTACTCGTTACAAAAAACTCCATTACATTCGATAACCATCTTCGTCTTTGTTTTGAAGATTGTCCAAATAATCTCATTTCCTTGAGGTGGAGGGTTAAAGACTGCTTTATTATTGTTATTGCAATTTCCTAGCCAGAGATGGTAATTTGGTACTAATATTGCTGTCGAGAATCCATTAACAATGTCTCCGACTTTCCCTTGGAGCCAAAGATACTTCTGTTCACTTGTTGTCACTGACTCCTCATTAGATTTGATCTCTATAGGGGCCACATCTAAATTGTGCTCGAATTCTACTCCTTGTTCAACTTTTACCCAGCCTGAAAGATGAAACAGGTTAATTATGAACATTTTGTTTCGGCAGACCAACAAAAAAAAGTATTCCTAATTCCGATCCTAAATAACGTTATTTCTCCTGGTTCACTTTTTCAATGATGGTTCTTACTTTGATCTGAAGCCCAGATTGACTGGACTGCTATCAAGAGCAGCAGCTCCGCCAACATAGTAACAGATACTTTTTACAACCTAAACATATTTTTGAATTGGTGATAAAATTGAACTTCCGAAATTAACCGAATTGCAAAAAACAACAAAAGGAACGTGCAGACTTAGAAAATATATGATTTTGCGGATGAAGGCTCGAGCAGAAAATAGATCTAAAAGTTTAACCGACAAAACAAATAGTGAGACATAAACTAGAGAAATAAGGTCGTGAGAGCAGACATAGGTTAACCCTGCCCCGATTATCTCGCTACTTGAACGTTAATGTTATTGTTCTGGGAGTCAGGAGTGTTAAATGAGTGTAACACAACGCCAGTGAGGACAACACGGTTATGTAACGTTTATAACGGTTATATAACGTGTTCGAATAGTATTGAAAAAGACATGCTTGTTGTTACCACTGGGTTCGTAACGCATAATACCGAGGATTTATCGAATGAGAGGGATGGGTCTCCCTTTTGTCCTCAAAAATGTGAGGATTAGTCGATAGCTGCCATGTCGCCGTGTACTCAGAATTGTGAGCAGGCTATTTTACAAAAGCTTGCGGAGGTTAGTCTCTCGGTTAAACGGTCAACTCCTCTCTTTTCAGAGAGCATGGTATTATCGATTATACGTATAACCTGCTCTAGGTTAACATAACACATAGCCTGGTCACTGTGAACTAGTATTGTCTTAGAATCTTAATAGTTTTTAGAAATTCACCTGTCCATGGCCAAGGATTCTTAGAGGTCAAATAATTCAACAAGATTCGTGAGCAATGTTATAAGAATGTGTGCAATGTTTGAAGAATCTACATTATATAAGGATGTTAGAGAAGACATGGATATACTAGGCTAAAACGCTTTGTCTAAAGGTAAGATGTATTGGCCGTAGTTAGAGATTTGACTTTTAAAAGGTAAAGAGCTGTATGTCTAACAAGCTGGGGAGGGGTGGGGCCGGGGCCGAGGGGGGGTCTAACGGCTAGCAGACAGACACCTACTAGACAAGCACTAGCACTGAGCACTGAGCACTGAGCACTGAGCACTGAGCACTGAGCACTTAGCACTGAGCACTGAGCACTGAGCACTGAGCACTGAGCACTGAGCACTGAGCACTGAGCACTGAGCACTGAGCACTGAGCACTGAGCACTGAGCACTGAGCACTGAGTACTGAGACATCTACTAGACAAGCACTGAGCACTGAGCACTGAGCACTGAGCTCTGAGCACTGAGCACTGAGCACTGAGCACTTAGCACTGAGCACTGAGCACTGAGTACTGAGACATCTACTAGACAAGCACTGAGCACTGAGCACTGAGCACTGAGCACTGAGCACTGTGCACTGAGCACTGAGCACTGAGCACTGAGCACTTAGCACTGAGCACTGAGACATCTACTGGACAAGCACTGAGCACTGAGCACTGAGCTCTGAAACATCTACTAGACAAGCACTGAGGACCATTTGTTTTTTTGCCTAATGAAAAGTATTTAAATACCCAGACCCCTTCGAGTCTTGCTAACCTAATTGATTTGCGATAAGAAGCTTGACGAGGGATGACGTTGGAATCGCAAGCATTGATGATTGAAATACAAACATTCGAGCCTTTTTGTTTTGAGACGAATAATAAAATTTTTAAGCTCCAAACTAGTTATAGTAGTAGTTCACTGTGCAGCTGTCCATATTCAAGGACTTGGCTAGAGAAACAATAGTAATATACGTCAAATTGCATAATGGAGACTCGATCCCGTTTAAATTGCCCAAAGTCTCCATTATGCAATTTAACATCTATTACTATTGTTTCTCTAGCCAAGTCCTTGAATAGGGACACTGGACAGCTGCATCTGACAGATTTGATGAAGTGAATGTTTGCGAGGTGGATCTTAAAGTTAAGCGGTAATTTGTTGGGAATTAAAGCTACCTTTATTTCAATTTTAACTCAGTAAATAGAAAATTTGGGATAATTTTGCATTTTCTCCAATCATTCCGACTTTTTATTGATTAAATAATTGACTGATCCAACGACGCGAAAGTCAAACCGGTCAAGGTTGCAACATAAACGATTCAAGTCCTAATATTCAACCACTTTATGCAGAACAATATGCACTATCCTTGGTTCAATCCCCGCCCTGAACTTACTCCCTTATTGCCATTAGTTCTGTGTAACTTTGTGCTTCGTTCCCCCTCACAAACTCGAACAAATGTTACATTGTTTTCTGGATCTCGATTATATAAGAAATTTGTGCTCATTTTAAGCACTGCACAATTCACTATTAGTATTACCGGATAATTCTAGCGATCATGAGAATTACTTACATAATAATATGTCTGTATGACACACAAAAACATTGTCCATGGCTGTTCATGGTTGTATTTCTAGCAATAAATGTGCATCTCAGAAAGTTAAAACCGTTTTAAAATTCCGGACATTCCAGGTGTATAGAGATCGATTACCCGCTCCTGGCTGAGTACGACTTTAAGAACGACACCGTAAACCCAAACGTGGACATGACGCTCAAACCAACCACCGTGCTCAGACCATACCAAGAAAAGAGCTTACGGAAAATGTTCGGGAACGGCCGTGCTAGAAGCGGTATCATCGTTCTACCTTGCGGTTTGTTCTAGGCCTTATCGTATTATTTGAATTTCTTTACGGTCTGATTTACGGGTCACATCTGTATTGATACATCGACTCTCTCAAATGCTGTGTAAAACAAAACCAAATCCTGTTATCTCTACAAAGAATAAAGATACAATATATGACTTCAATTTTATGATTAAAGTGACGTGTTAAACACAGTTACAGTTGTCCATTGACATTCCACCATGATAACACAGATAACCTACAATGCAAGCTAACCCCTCTCTCCAGGTGCCGGTAAAACACTTGTGGGAGTAACCACAGCCTGTACTATCCGTAAGAAGTGTTTAGTTCTTTGCACCAGCGCTGTCGCCGTGGAACAGTGGAAATCTCAGTTCAAACTGTGGGCCAACATTGAAGACAGACTCATCGTCCGGTTCACATCCTCGACCAAGGACAAGCCTGATCAGAACACGGCGGTGGCGATCAGTACTTACTCCATGGTCAGTTTCACCAGCAAGCGGAGTTATGAGGCGGAGAAGGTGAGCATTAAACATTCAGATTTTACATAATATCATAATATGAGGACTTGTTACGTAAGACAATAAAATGTAATGAAATTGACAGCAACTAAACAACAAGTTGGTATTTTTCAGTCGATGGAGTTTATAAACGGCACCGAGTGGGGCCTGCTCCTTTTAGACGAAGTACACACCATCCCAGCCAAGCAGTTCAGAAGGGTCCTGACGGAGGTTAAGGCTCACTGTAAGTTGGGACTAACAGCCACCCTCGTCAGAGAGGACGACAAAATAGCTGATCTCAACTTTCTCATAGGTAAGCTTTTTTACTTTATTATACATGTCGGGCGTATCGGTATAGTTTTGCTTATTTAACGCAAAATAATGTGTTTGCAGTAGACTGAATTATTGGTGATGAGGTGACAGAACTTACAAAATTGTTACTTGGGTATACCTACAAAATTGAAAAAATTCTGTAAACAAGAAATTGTTGCTGTTAATTTAACGTAACGCTGAGCCTGCGGCGTTAGAATAATTAGTAATACATTGCATAATAACACAGGGCCGAAATTGTACGAAGCGAACTGGATGGAGCTGCAGAGTTTAGGGTTTATTGCACGTGTTCACTGCTCCGAGGTTTGGTGTCCCATGTCTCCAGAGTTTTACAGAGAGTACCTCAGTATCAAGAGTAGAAAAAGAAAAGTTCGTTTAACTGATTTTCCAGCTGATTTTCCTGAAAATATGAGCCTCGATTTCATTTTGCGTGATCATTGATTTGGTGAACAGATTACAGTACATTTACAGTACATTACATTTACTTACCGTAATTAAGTATTTTAATCTTAAATCATTAAATCTGATTCCAACTGATGCGTTTATTTTGACTGTGATATTTCCTCAGTTGTTGTACACAATGAATCCGAACAAGTTTCGAGCGTGCGAGTTCCTGATAAAGTACCACGAACAGCGATCTGACAAGATTATCGTATTCTCGGACAATGTGTTTGCTTTGAGGCACTACGCTATCAAGCTCAATAAACCCTTCATTGACGGGCCAACTCACCAGACGGAACGGATGAGAATTCTCCAGAACTTCAAGTTCAATCCTCTTCTTTGTACTGTCTTCATATCCAAGGTTTTTGAACTTTAAATATAACACCCTCCGTTGTTGTGATTTTATATCCTATTGGTTTAATACGAGGTTTGTGTAGCGTCCATAGCGATTTGAGTGTCCTGTGACGGCCTCCGTTACTCCACTCTTTTTGGAAATATTCTACCATACTGTCCTTCGTCGTACTATCCACTGCTGTATTGCTCTCCAACAACAGTTTCCTAAACCCGAAAGAATCATTGGTCAAATCCGAATATTCCGGGTTTTACAGTGGTCTTTCATGATTCCGCGTCTTTCCCTTGTCACAAGGTTGACAATTCCTAAACAGATTACTTGATATGAGCAAGACCGGATCTTAACCGAATTAGAAGTGTTTAAAAACTTCGCCAGAAGTCCGGGTTGCAAGTCCATGATACTTAATTCCTCGACGGCTGCATACCAAGAACTTAAGTATTTGCACAATTTAACTTACAAATTGGATTTGGAAGTGCAACTACCAAAATGACTGTACAACAAACTGAAGTCATAGCTTTCTACCCTTTGGGGTCGTTCACATATTACGTAATCACTAAGGGGAGAGGGGAGTTTCTATTTGATGATTACGGTAGTGTAATTTTGACACAATAGCTAAGCGTAAACTTGATTACGTAGGGGGAGGGGGTTACAAATTGGCCAAAAAGTGATTAAGTAATATGTGAACGCTGAACAGTCCCTTTCTAAACTTAATCTCACAACTGTTCTTCAGGTAGGAGACAACTCATTTGATTTACCAGAAGCTAATGTTTTGATACAAATATCATCTCACGGAGGCTCCAGGAGACAAGAAGCTCAGCGGCTTGGTGAGTTCAACTGTATTTCAAACGTCGAAGTTAGATTTACACTTTAAGATAAGACCTACTCAGTTGGATCGTGAGTTGAATGAACTTTGAATAATGAGCCGTAAAACTTCGCATAATTGGTGGTCCACTACCATATGATATCAGTTGGTACGGTGACATCACATGACTATCACTTGAACGATGAACTAACGATAAATCATGTGTAACCAACTGTTTGTATTTGTAATTAATTAATTTTCTCGAAGGAATTCACGCGATTCTTGATTTTATGAGATAGCAAGAGAATGGTGTAATACGTTCAGTTCTTACATGAAGGCTATAAATTTTGTCACCGTAATGAACATACTTGTCTACTTAAATTTTGCGAGTTTTAGAATGAACAACTTTTCAATAATCACGCCTAAAACATGGAGCAAAACCAGCTTCCAGGCTCCTCAAACTTATCAGTTTTGCTATTATGAGTACCCACCTAGCGGAATAATCTCAAATATTCGATTTAAAATGTATTTTGATTCGGTTCGGAAAATACTTCTCGGTTGCTTCCTTAAACCGTCCTCTGGTTTTTTAAGCTAAATAACTTCTTGACGAAACCTAATTTTGTTTGTGATGTTGACTATTGATTTGTGACAGGTCGAATCTTGCGAGCGAAGAAGAACATGATGTCTGAGGAGTACAACGCTTTCTTCTACACCCTAGTCTCCCAAGACACCCAAGAAATGTACTATAGCAACAAGAGACAGCGCTTTCTGGTCAACCAGGGCTACAGTTTTAAGGTAAGAAAACTGTCCCGTCCACACAAATCAGGACTACAGTGTCCTGTGTCAAAGTCAGAACACTGGTTGTTCCGCAGAACTAGAACCCTGAATTTACGGGAATTTTCCATAGAACTAGAACCCTGAATTACCGTAGACCGTTGACATTTAATTCGACACTGTATGTGATATTTCGTGCCTGGTTGAATCAACCAGTGGTTGATGGATCACCTCATGATGTGGCAAATATAGCTCTTACTTTATGTGCATACACTAAATATCCCAAATATGTGACAGTTAACGGCGCACTCCCACGAGTATTACTATCACCCTCTCTGCTGCTCTCCCCTGTATTTTATCAGCCACGTGGTTCGTCTCTCACTACATTCCACAACAAGATAAATGTGTCGATATTATTATATGTTATATATCAAGTTGTGTTTTAAGTGACATGTACGCCGCGCTCTGTACTCTATATTTAATGATGATTTAATCGTGTGCAGGTTATCAACAGGCTCGAGGGCATGGACCAGCAAGACCTACATTACAGCACGAAGGCAGAACAGGCGGAGCTCCTCCAAAAAGTAAGTAACGGGAAGTTCCAGTTCCCGGACCAGGACGCCCGTCTACACTTAACCATTTCTATCTAATTTTCTTATTATGTCACGTCTAAACTTATCTTGAACATGTTAATTTGGCTCCGGCCTTAGGGTTGACTAATTAGCTATGTCTGCGAAACATTATTCAGTATATGCAAAAGTATTGAGTGTTTCCTAGATGTGCAAGTGGGGAGGCCGGGAAAAGTGCCCGATTCGAGGAAATTCCACCATGCTTTCGGGTTCGCCCTGTCTACTTTTTGCCACACTCTTGGACTGGGTCCAAGAGCAATATTTACCACTTGCTCAAATATTGTGGAGCATCCGTTAATTAAATCATGAATGTAGGTGTCTTATCTCGGTCATATTTTCCTCTACCGGGAAATTTTGCATTTTTAAGATAAAACTAAAAGAGGGTTTCTTGGGTTACTTAATGATATTTTCGTGACGCATTACCGAGAAACCAGACTGCAAACTCTAACTTCATGTCAGGTTCTTGCTGCAACGGATGCGGACGCGGACACCGAAGAAGTGCCAGTAGACGGAATTGCCGGTTCCAGATCCAAAAATAAATTCTTCCGAAAACATGGAGAATCCTCCGGTCTGTCAGGTAAACTGACGGCCCGAATGTTTGAGAAGATTTCTTATCAATTCTTTATTGCCATAAGCATTCTTCCATCTTCGTGCGTTATCTGGGCAAGGAACATCGAAGATTATTTTTCCGACCTCTTATCACGTATACTATATTCCATGTTTCAGGTGGTTCTGGTATGTCATATATGGAGTACAACAAAGGGAAACGCAAACATCCGCTATTCACAAAGTTCAGATAGAAATTAAAGACATCTTGTTACTAGCACTACCTGGTTTTAATTTATTGTTTATAATTAAATGAGGCCCTGCACTCTGCAGCTGCAGTGTAGTGATTCGCTGACCGTTTTAACCAGGAAATCTTCAGCTGAATATTTTCACATCGTTCGGACAGGCATTTTGTTTAAAACAGAACATGACCTTTATTACTTTATATTCGTTCTTTTAACATTCGCGTTGGGAAGATTATTTGTATCCGGGTATAATTTGGGTCTTTCAACGAATTTTTCAAATTTTCAATTGTTCGAAAGGTATTTATTTTTAATATTTGTTTGAAATTTTTATCCCGGAAAGTGGTGTCTTTTTGTCGTAAATGGCGCCAAATCCGGTAAAACGTGACGGAGATTTTGGCGGCAAACCAACGTCAACAACAAATGATGAGTGCGCGCGCCACAAACTACACAACTTTCGGAAATAGTGACAGATTTTTCTTTTCTCTTTGTTTTGGCACGGCGCCCTACGATTTAGTTGAAATATCCGTGCTCCGTAGGACTAAACGTGCTAGCGCGGGAAGTCTGTATCACCTTAAACGGACGATTATCCACCGAGATAAGAAAAAAGTTTCCGATGATAAAATAGAAAATTAAAGTGCGCATCAACTCATTTTGTGGCCCTAATTTAGCATAGGAGCGTGAGCATTTGACAGAATGAGACAGAGATAACAAGCTAACAGAGAGCAAACACCTGCAGTGCACCTGTTACAACCCAATATTACTTGAATCATAAGTGAAGTGGATAATTCTCGGCCATTCTTCGTCTTTAAGACAGTTAACTCGACACAGAATCGTTCATCAACAATGCATCATTTAGTTAGGGGACCTTTTAAGAGTCTTACAGCAAATTGTTGCACGTACTGAACTTGAGTCGAACAAACATTCTGATGCCCAGAAGCTATGGGTACTAGTCCTACAATTGTTAATAGCATTCCATTGGAGCCCTGACGGTTATGGAAGGGTCAGGTCATAAGCCGTGCCCGGCCTGGCTGCATAACTCTGTACCAGTAATTGTCTGACGTCACGAAATTTGAGGCACGGGCAAGATTTAAACGTGGAAAAAAACTTAAAAGATTCGGGGAATACCAAGTGCAGTGTGAAGAATACCGTAATGGTGATGATTCGCATGGATAAGCACGTAATTAAATGATTTATGAATCACGATTTCCCGCAAAAAGTAAAGCAGGATATTAAATCAAAACGCTAAAGATAAACGCGAAATGTAATTAACCGACATTGTGCAATGTGCACCCAATAATGACCTACTAATATTTGTAACCAGACTCTGATGAAGCGCTCCTCCATTTAAACCATCATCAACATGAATCTTATCAAAGATGCTAAACATGACCACTGCTATCGGATAGGTACAAACCGTGTCATTTTCTTAACTGTATTGTAGGATTTGCTTTTTAAATAATGGAGTCTATTAGCTTCGTATCCATGGCTAGAAAGAAGGGTATATCTTAGACTACTTCTTGGAACTATTTCAATCAGACTATTGGCAGTTATGACATGCAGCCAGCTCACCTCGCACATATTATCTATGTCTGTTGATGACTTAATTCTAACTGTGGTCAATATTTGTCGACGTCACGTATAAAAACGGGTCCGATGTTAAAAAGATCAGATTTGACTAATAAATACGCATTACTAACAAATAAAAATAAAATATTTCGTCACTACGCTACCATTTAACCAGGCGATATATGTGTATTCATTCAGTTGTAATGCGAGGCCACCACCATAAAAATCAAATACTTAAATAAACTTAAATTTTAAAACTAATACCTTGAAACGTAATCGTTAGCTAACTATTTAACTGGCGTCAAGAAAGACTTAAATTATAACGGATCTATATATTAAACCTGCAACGCATATTCAGAGGTACATTTAAAATAATTTATTAACTCATATATAACTAAAAGTTTGACAAGAAATCTCAAATCTCAGTTTCTTATCTTGACTTGCGAAACTGAACAATGATTTAAGCTTGCTAACGCTATGACATGAGCTCAATCTGTAAGGCTAAGGCCGCTTTCAATTGGGAAGTTTAACATCTCAACTGCGTACTAAACGTTTTCTATTAAAAAAAGGAATTTTTAAAGATGGTCCATTTTTCGAAGAGCAGAAATGTTGTGACAAAATTCAACATTGCACTAAAAATTTGATTTCTAATCACAGTCGGGATCAAATTGAGCTCAAATCAACATCTTGCATTTAATTAAGAAGGATCAAGATAGTATCAGAAAAGATTAATTTTACCAACCCAGTGAACCCAAAGGAACGTTTACTATATTCCAAGCTATAAATTCTACAAATGCAGTGATTATAATCGATAAAAATGTTCTGGCTTACAAAAAGTCAAAACTGACACAATCATACACGACATTTAAGAAAATTTTCCCCTAGAAAAAGTCTAATTAGCAATAACTTAAAAGTTAGTTATCGAACTATAAAAGCTGTAAAAATCAAATAGAGGTTTAATTGAATACACTTGAAGGCTGTTTAAAATAACGATATATTGTAACCGGTTAAAAATATGATAAAATGACAGTCTAGTGCCACGATGTAAGGTGTGGCATATATAATAAACTACTAGAACTTATCAGTTCATTTAAGATCTTGAATCTCTACGGGGGCCTCGCTCCTCACGCCTATCATCTCGCCGTCCGTTATTGTTGTCACGGTAGTTGTTGTAGTTTCCCCGTCCTCGGCCTCCGCGGTATCCACCTCGCATGAATGGAGGATACATATCATAACCACCACCACCACCACCACCACGAGGTCCACCATAGCCACCGCCATATCCACCACGCATACCACCTCCACCACCACCACCGTTATACCCTCCTCGTCCACGACCCATATTATAACCACCATAGAATGCAGGGCCCCTCCGATCCATGAAGAACATATCGTAGTCGGTGACAAATCGCATGCTGGCATAAGTATCCTCGCACACAATCTTGATGATCTCCTCAGTGCACTCGTCCACACAGTCCTCTTCACCCTCGATAGATATCGCACGCTCGTCCAAGCCAAAGGGAGTTTCTGAGCGACGCGTCGTGTTGATCTCAACATTGTGCTTACTCTTCATCTCTTGTACCGTCTTTCCTGCAGAATTGCGGTGTTACATTTATTAATTGGCTAGTTACAGGCGAAAAATTTTACACATATGCGGGGTGTTCCGTAGAAAGTGTGACTATTTTCCACATTCATAATTTTAGACAAAATCATACTTCACGATTATGTTCAACTGAATTTTATCGAAAATACGATAGAATTTATAGTTATGAGTATTGAATATAAGTATGATTAATTACTAAGTATTTGCTCGAAATAGCCACCATTCCCCAGTAGGATACTCCGTATGGAGGGTCGCTACCTCATACCTTGTGACGCGGACGGTAGTCAGTGGGTGCCGCAACAAAAAAAAAAAAGCCACCATTCTCAGAAATGGCATATTGTAGTCTGATTACTGATATTGACATTATTTTTGGCCGAGGTCTAAGATTTTCAAAATCTAATCAAAACTTTTTAAAGGACTATCTCAAAATTCTGTCTGTCTCGATTTTCAGTACAAACTTGGTATGCACAAATTCCATACATAAATAACATATTGACACTATGTGGTATAGCAACTCCACCTTCATTAAAATGTTTGTTCTTTTTTTAAATAATCACATTTTATTTGAAACACCCTGCATTTGTTACTTGTAGTAGAGTATCTTGTTACAGATACGCTTAGTTAAAGTACATAACTTGTGTGTGTATTCCCATATTATCTTAGTATAGCTTGTTAAGCCGCTGCATAGCTACATATTGTATTATAATGTATATAATAATAACAATTATATTGTGTTCTTCTAAGCAACCTTCTGCCATTCTATTATTGTTCTATACTTCTCTGTGTATAACTGTAAATAATATTACCAACGAAATTCCAAAGTGGGCATCTATGTAATTTTCAACATTAATTGTTACCTTCATGCCCACAGTTCACTGCTAAATGATATCTTATTTTATCACTCATTAATTTATTACTTATTATGTTTTACAATTTACATGCTATATCCTTATGTCCCTAGAAGGGTGTTCTGCTAACAGTTTTCGACTGACTTGAATGTCCTGCACAGCAGATTGAAGCTTCTTAAATTATTTTTTATTCTTATTGTATTGCTGTGTAAATTTGATTCTAATTCTAATTCTAATTCTCTCTTTTTAAGCACAATCTCGACTCGTCATTTATACAAACATGTCTTAAGAGTAGGTCACCAAGTTAAGTAAGATGAAAGGTCACCAAGCTTAGTAAGGTCACCAAGTTGAGTAAGGTCACCAAGCTTAGTAAGGTCACCAAGCAAAGTAAGCTAAGTGCAATATTGCGCTGTATATCCAAAATAAGCGCAGAGAGCTTTTCTAGAGTTCTACAGAGAAAATAACACACAAAGCTCATATACTATTTCATGTTGAATTACAAACGAGTAGTCTATCTGATGTACTACAACTAATACGATCTGACATGAGAAGCAACGTCTCCGGTGAGTATTAACTCTCACCACATCCTCGCTTTACGTCTGATCTCTCTCAGTTTTTTTTACTCTGCTAGCAGGGTTTTAATTATCATATTCAAAACGATCATGTAAGTACGTGACGATACTAATAAGTAATGAGAGTTAATGAACGTAAAATTAAACGTCTCTTCAACCGTAAAACGCGGCGTCTCTTCATAGTATTACTAGACATGATAGAATTAGCCATTAGTTCTGTTCCATTACAGAGTTACGGGTTTATCAACGTCTGGGATTTGAGAGCTGCGAATTCCGCGAGAGATAATAAATAAATAAAGTAAAATTTTATACAGCATTTTATCGGTAAATATTTGAGTCAGTTATGATAAGAGATGCCACGTGTATCTTTGTGTTACAATATCAGCTTGTTGGGGTTCTGATAAGGGCTCAATACTGGTCAAGGTAAAGAGTTAAGGCTAACATGAGTCTGGCATACATCCATATTTTATGGTCTTTCATAGCAAGTGATAAGGAATAATCCCATTATTACCGCTGAAACACGATGTGGGATTTTTGGCCAGCTGCCAACAAGGTCACGAGTAGCGAAACCAAAATTTATGCCATTGATTATACCGATAATAAACAAAATTGCAGCTGAGTTGAGAATTAAAATTACAAATCTCGCTTGCAAGGTGTGCCAAAAAGCTATTGTTGCCCATTTTGAATTCATATTTAGAGCCAAGGATTTCAAGCTTTGCTAATCATCTCCTGCAGGGATTCAGCTCTTTTAAATTCAACAGAGGATTTTTCTCTTTTTATATATCCTTCTATAAATTACGATCGTCGCATGAATTACATTATATTAAATGTTAAAATGTTAGCTTATTCATTAATCTTATTAACTGCAGTACTGCACGTAAGGAACTAGGCAGTCTAAAACTGAATTTTGTGTCATAAATATTTGCATGATTTCTTACAACCTCAACACGGAGTATGGCACACTATTTCATAGCCTACTGAGATTGAAACGCAAGATAAAGAAAATATTCAGTTGGGAGGGGATGCACAATAACGAATACGTCATTATATTAACATGTGTTCATGCCTGGAATCTTTATTCGATTACCTATCTACAGTGAAACATTATCGAATGTTGTAGAACAGGAGAGATGTCAATCTTGTGATAATATGACTGGTTCTGAGCTGTAAAGCACGGAATGGTCGGGGAATGGTCTAACTAGGGTATCTATTTCAAGCTGCATAGAAGCTTCAGTAGCCGGAGCATCAAGAATCCAGAGCATCATACTAATCATTCCACGAACATCAGTACTAATTCAGCCTCTTAGTCAAATTACTTTACTTTTACTTTGGGCGATGCTCAATCGAAATCTCCTCCACTCTACGTCTCCAGATGGTTCTGTCGCACATAACTGTTCGGAGATCTTCTACCCGCAACCCTGTGTCCCTGGCTACGGTGTCAAGAAAAGAGAGTGGTCTCCTCCCACGCCTGAACTGTGGCAGCCGCCAAGGAAGGATGGTAGAGATGACCTGGTCTGAAGCTCTCATGCAATGCCCAGCAAATCTGGCACGTCTCTGTGCAACGATGGTGGAGATGGAAGGGAGGTCACCATAGATTTGCTTTAGGGTTGGATGCTTCTTCCATGAAAGATTCCTGGCTTTCATTAGGAGCCTGGTGTAGCACCCGTCGAGACGCTTCTCAAACTGCTTGTTCAAGGTCCAGGTTTCTGAGCAATACAGCAGAACAGGTTCGATGCATGCTCTGAAGAACTTGACTTTCAGCTGGTCAGAAATGCCAGAGGTCATACCTTCTGCAGTTTGATACAGGCTGACCAAGCCATGCCTTTCCTGGTGTTGAAGTCCTTCCTGCTCTCTGCAATATATGAGCCCAAGTATTTGAAGTCATCAACCTGCTTGATCTGGTAACCGGATATTGAGTTCACGGGGGCAGCATCAGGAATGTTGATGGTCATGTATTCGGTCTTGGAAGCATTCATCGCAAGTCCGACATGTGCTGCTGCAGTCTCTAAATCCGAGAGCAGTTGTTGCAGTTGGACTTGCTCTATGTTATCGGCAGTCAAGGCCAGGTCCCGGTCGTCAGCGAAGTCAAGATCTGTGACTCTGACCGCAGGTACTCTCCGACTTTGCCTGGGGATGATGGTAAGGCCATGGTCAAGAGTCATGCAGTTCCTAAGGACATAATCGAGGACGATGATGAAGAGGAAAGGAGCGAGTGTATCACCCTGAAGGACCCCGATGAGTGTTCTAAAGAAGTCAAATGATAGTACCTAGTACTATCAAATGATAGTACCTAGTACCATAGTAGATGATAATGTATGCAATTATAGTTTATTATACCCGTAGCTAAGAAATCAATAATTCGATGTTTATTCAACGAAGTAACTAATACCTATTGTTGAAATTCAGTCAGATCCCAATAAAATAACTCATGAAAACCTAATCAAATTATTACTACTTTTTTTTCTGAATTATTGAACAAAACTGGAATGGAATTATATCATTAGCCACTGTGTTTATACCCATAAGTGTATACAATCTTGCACATAAGACCTTGGTCTACATATATATTAAATTATTAACCATTCATTCTGTATGTGCACGAAAATTTATTTCAATCAAAAAGAACAACTAAATCAAGTCTTGACATGTGAATATTCAAAGATTATTATTAAACTTCAAATATGCAGATAATAGATGTAAGGTATTTAAACACTGCCTCGCCATAAAATGGTAGGTAGTGATACCTGTCAAGTAATTTGACAAATAACATTCCAGGGAACTTATGCACATTCCACAACTATCTATTCAAAATTTATTAAATTCATTTTATATTTATCATCAAATTTCTACATGATACCATTGTGGGATCAGCTAAGTATTTATTTTTTAGACTCAAATGGAGCACAAACCTGCTTTGCCGATGATACGTCCGAGGGTATTATCAGAAACAACCAATTTACAGCACTGCTTTCTTTTCTCGTTCTCCGTCCTTGGTCCTTTCACGTTCTCAGGGGGTTGATCAGTCCTAAAATAGAGAAATTATTGTCTAATATAATGTTATACTGGTGTGAGGAGGTTAAATTCAGCAACAATCGTTCAAATGAACTTACCACGTCTGACCTGATGCCATTTTACACTCTTAGATCTATACTTCTCTGTATATAAATGTACATATTTATGACAACAAATGTCAAAGTGGTTATCTATGTGATTTTCGTACTACTAACTAGTAACTACTTTAATGGTTACCTTCATGCCCACAGTTTAATGTTAAATCTCACTGTACCATATTCATTAACTTATAACTTATTACATACTATATGTTTTGATTCTATGTCCTTAGAAGGGAAGTCCGTGAACATAAATATATTCAACTAATCAAGACTTTAAAACCTTTGGGAATTAACACTATAAATCCTTTTGGCTTTCCCTTACTCCTTACATCTTAATTTTAACTTTATAACCGTTTTAAGAGTGTTCAGATTTTTAAAGGAATTTTGGGTTTTACAAACTTTTTACAATTTTTAGGGCTTATGTCACTGAAGATGACGCCTTGCAACATGTTTGACGATAGCCTGTAAAATGTAAATTGATAGTTTGATCTCAGTATTTACAACAATTCATCTAGCTTGATTGATTCAAAGGGAGATAAAAATGCCTCTCTTGTCCTTAGAAGGGTATTCTTCTAACAGTTTCTGACTGACTTCAAACAGCAGTTTGAAGCTTCTTTAAATTATTTTTATTCTTATTGTATTGCTGTGTAAATTAAATTCTAATTCTAATTCTAAATGAAAAACGATCAACCACCCAAAACATGTTGGTCAGAGTAAATATAAAATCAAATCATACCTGATTTTCTCCTGGATCATATTAACACAGATCTTGATGGCATCAATGCTACCCCTGATAGAAATAACTCGTTCATTGGTCCCTGGAAATCTGACATTGTTCTGGGAGACTACCACTGCTGCATCACTCCTCTCCTTGATCTCCTTTATATTCTCACCTCCTGTGTAAATTACGTTGTCAAGTCCTCTTCTTAAAACTTGCTATCTTAAATTTTCACTAATATCTTTCAGTCAATTATAATGTTAAATTGGCACTGGTGAAATTTGTTGAACTGAATTGACAGTGACCCTTCTCTTATGTTTAGATAATTAATTTGAAAGGTACATTTTACCTTTGCCTATAACAGCGCCGGCAACATAATAAGGACATAAGATCTTGATGACGGAACCAGATCGTCTAGGACGAGAGTTCGGTTCATGTTCATGTTCATGTTCAGGGGCAGGGGAATCTTCAGACATGGTGGACCTGGACTTGTGAAGCTACAAACAATAGTAGTGGTTAAAATAAATGTCAGTAATAACTTCTATCCTAGAATCAAATCTGGAAGAATAGCATATCCTGGAGCTCAATAGATAATGGTAAGTAAGTAAGTAAGTAAGTAAAGATTATGACATAACATCATCACAAGTGTCTACAAAATATCATTGCACTAAATAAAAAATAATTTAAATAAATATATTTTTCCATCAACATTTTAATAATTTATCAAATTCAATTTTATTAATTAATAAAATCTAATACATTATCTATAAATAATTCATTAATACTTCCCAGTGGAATAAAGATTTATGAAACGCTTCTTTGCCACAAAAGGATGAAACCAAAGATATTCATTATGTGTCTCCTTATTGCTTAAATAACTGGGTCCTTCAATTTTCCCTAAAACTTCATTCGAAACATTCCAAAAATAAAAATCATTTACACTGTTTTTAGAAATCATTTCTTTCTTAAATCCTTCCAATCTAACTTTAAAGCTTAAAACTGTCGAGCAGTTCTTGACATCTGAAGGGAGTTTGTTCCAGTAAGGAATGACTCGCTCCGGAAGAAAAGAAGACTGGAGATTCTTAACTTTAGTTACACTCTTATTACACCTATTGGTTGAAACTAGATTAAGACCAGATCTGCTCATTCTGAACAAACCCGATCCATATTCAGTCAAACCACTAGTTACTTTAAAAGCTTCGATAAGGTCCCCACGTATTCGCCGCTCTGCCAGCGTTGTCAAATTGAGGATATCAAGTCTGCAGCTGTATGGAAGAGTACCCACCTCATCAATAAGACGGGTAAACTGCCTCTGGACGCTCTCCAGCTCCAAAACAGTCCCCCAACTTCCATGAGCCGCAACTGGATTCCACAATTGGACACAATACTCAAGATGAGGTCTTATCAAAGCTTTATAAATAGCTATCATTACAACCTTTTCTCTAATAACTAAGTTCCTTACAATCCAGCAGATCATACGATTTGCTTTAGAAATACATGCTTTTATCTGTTCATTCCAAAGCAAGGAGCTATGGGTAATAACCCCCAAATCTTTTTCCTGTGCAGATACTTCTAGTTCTACTCCATTTACAATATAATTCGAGTTAGGATTATTATTCAGATTAATATGGACTACTTTACACTTGGCAGGATTGAAGTTTAAGTGCCAAATACTCCCAAATTTCGAGTTCTAAAATATCATCAGATACACTTCTATGGTTAGCTGCATTACAAACTAACTTGAGATCATCAGCAAATAATTTAATCTTATTTTTAACATTGTCAGGTAAATCGTTTATATAAAGAATAAATAGCAAAGGACCCAATACTGACCCCTCGGGAACACCAGATAACACGTGTTTCACCTCAGACCATTGTCCTTCTACACAAACCCTCATGGTTCTGTCTGTCAGAAAGTCTTTTATAACATCCAAAACTTTTCCCTTGACCCCAAACCCCTCCAATTTAGATAGAAGTCTAAAGTGGGGGACTGTGTCAAAAGCTTTACTAAAATCAAAATACAAAAGATCGACAGGAGCACCTTCGTCTAAAATATCAAGAATATTATCAAATGTCTCTAAGAGATTAGATAGACAAGATTTACCCTTCACAAATCCATGCTGATGCTTGGAAATTCGTTCTTCTAAAAATGTTAATAAATGTGCCCTCACCAACTTTTCATACACTTTGCACAAAATACAAGTTAATGAGACAGGTCTATAATTTAAGGGATCAGATTTAACACCCTTTTTGAACAATGCTACAACAGATGCTGTCTTCCAAATGTCAGGCAGGACTCCTGTTTCTGAACACTTAACAAATAATTTAGTTACAGCTTCAACAAACTTTTCATCGTATGCTAAGGATTTCAACAACTTTGGATGAACGCCATCCGGACCAGAACTCTTAAAAACATTAAGCTTTAAAAGCTGCTTCTTGATATCAGAACTGCTAATTTCCATATCATCAATAACCTCTTTGTTGTAACTCTCATTTTGGGGAAGAGGGCCAGGTGGTTCACGCACAAACACAGAACTAAAGGCACTAGCAAGTACCTCAGCTGACTCAGATGAACTATCTGTGCGTGTACCATCTCCTCTATCTAAAGAAACAACACTTGACTTAACTTGACGTTTATTACGCAAATACGAGTAAAAAGATTTACAATTCTGTTTTAAATTAGATGTAATCTTCTTTTCATAATTTACTTTCGCTTTAATTTCTGCCACCTCAAAAATACGCTGCTTGCTATTTGCACAGCTAAAGTTAATATCCGAAGGATTAATATCAAATTCAGCCCATGCTCTGTCCTTGTTCTTCCTCATTCTTTTAAGTGAAGTTGTACTCCATGGCAACTTGACAGGTCTGTTGTCGAGATAAACCGAAGCAGCTGGGACAGCTGCAGCAACAGACTCCAATTTACCATGTAGATCAACCCACATATCTTGAACATTATTTGTACAACTATAATCCCAGTCAATATTATTCATACTAAAGTAAAATAACTCTTCTGAGGAAATCTTACCCCAAATAGGATTTAAAATCTTTTGTTTGGGACTTTTGTTAGTATTGGGCGAAACAACCAGTTCGACTAGTATCCCAACATGATCACTTTTGCCAAGCGGAGAAACGATCTTACAACCGTTGACAAGAGCATCATTTGTATACAAAACCTGATCAAGAAGACTCTCCTGGAGAGTATCTTTCACAAGCCGTCTTCTGGTTGTTTCGTTAGTAAAGTACCACGTCAAACCACTGTCATTAAATAAATCAATATACTTTTGTTGAATCATTAAAACCTGATTCTTACTAGAAATACCACTATTTACACTACCAGTTTCCCAAGATACATTAGGTAGGTTAAAATCTCCTATGATAATGGTTTCAAAAACATTCTTTTCACTAGATATGTTCTTGATGCAAGATAATAACATATTATTCTGTTTTAAATTCAAAGAGGTAGACCCATAAATACAACAAATACTAATCAATCCACCAGAGGTATTGACATTAATAGCTAAAGAGTCTGGTGCTTTTAAAAATGAGCTCACTAATGAAGCATTGCAACTGTTTTTAATATAAATAATAGAACCTCCACCTCCACTTATGTTGCTAGTGGAGTTATCGAATTTAAAATCTCTGTCTTTTCTAAACATACTAAAACCTTCAATAAAAATTTCAGCATCTAAAATATCACTATTAAAATGAGTTTCTGTAATGCAGATTACATGAATGGATTTATAAACTGATAGAATACATTTTAGTTCATCAATTTTATTAAATAGTCCATTAGCATTAGATAAAAAATATTCATGGGCTGACTACATTCTGTATCACTGCTATTTACTTCTTCTCCACCTTTTTCTCTGTCTTTTCCTTCTCTGCTTCTTCCCGCCTCTTCTTCCTCTCTTCTCTGGCTAAAAACGGTCTGCAAAGCAAATCATGTGAATATATGACTACGAAATAGATCTATAGATTTGTCCATAATATTTAATACCGTATTGATGGTTTTGAATTTTGTATATTGAATTTTAATGTGAAGCGTTTACTCTTCCCCCTCGGCAATCAATTAGAAAGTTAGATTGATGACAATAATTGCCAAATGACGTAGAAGATATAGATGTTCAATGTTGTAGAGTGATTTCAAGAGTAGTGGTCCACAGGGGTCCGAAAAAGCCGTACAGGCACTTGGGTCCTTATCCTTGTCACTAGTCCCAATTGGATTCACTTTACACAAAACATGAACGGTTACAATTTAGACGTACACATTGGCACGATATTTATTAGAAAGCAGACAGTATTAAATAATACGTGCGTGCGCGGCTTGAGCCGCGCCGCATAACAATTTATGCGTTTAGGGGCTGGAGTACGCGTGTTTACAGATTAATGAATTGTTGCATTGTAAATATTTAAAGTTGACGATATTTTATGATTTAATAGTAAATTTTTCAAAGCTGGCTTTGGACTTAGGTAAAATTATAACTTATTTATTTTAAAGAAAAAACCACGGATAGTTTTAAATTTACATAGTCGTACAACTATAATCAAGTTAATCCTGTTTTCAAGAATGCGCGGCTTTGGCGGCCAGTTATTGACTTGCACATAAAATTGAATTTTCAATAGAAATGTGAATATAATGTATTAAAATTTAAAACTTTCAAAACGGAGGCTTATAAATATTATTATATTATGATTGTAAAATAAAGGATAAAATTTTAAATTTGTTTCACTTGATTTGTTCAAGACCGTCAACGAGTCTGACTTGGCGCGCGTCTAGCTAATTGGTAGGTTATAAACATACAACAAATTTAAACAGCATGCAATATACAATAAAAATAATTGATTTACGATGTTGGATGTCAAACCTTCGCAGCTCGGCCCAGTGTTGCATTTCGCCGATCTACCGCAGTTGCGAGAAGAATTATTTGATGCGCGGCGCGGCCCAGTAGTGCATAGCGCTACAATAAAAATAGTGAAATTACGACAATGGGGGTCACAATATGATTTAAGTAAATAATTTATTCACTAATCACAAGGAGGACCAAAGCGCAAAGAAACTGCTGCTAATATAACTGCTGCTGACTGCTGCAAAATAGTTGTCACCTCTGACCACACAGTTATGTCTGCAACACATTATCATCAAATTATTTATTTTGCATGCACAAAAGATGTAATCTCTTGACATACGTTGCATGCCATTTTTCAAAAGAGATAGGTTACAGTGGTTTTTTGAATATATATAGCACTTTGAATGTATATAGCACTTTGTGGCTCTGAAAAAACTTTTTTTGCTTTGTGACGGATGCAACACCATGGTTGTTGAAATTTTTTAGAAAAAGCTTTTGAGTAGCGGTTTTGAAACTTTGCATAGCTCTAATTTTTGTGCCTATGCCTTAGTGTATGGAATTTCGAAGATAAATATTGCAGTATACCCAAACTATGGCCCTTTGAAAAATTGAATGATTTTTTTCATTTCCGAGTAGTGTTCCTTTGAATG